TCATGGGAATCTCATTGAAGATGTTCGTGCTAGTATAAGAATATAATGGTCCTGTACCCTGCATCACACTCTTCGAGAAGGAAATTTCTGCACTGATTTTCTTGCGCTGTTACATTGGGTCAGAATGAAAGGTTCTCCATTCCCCACTAGCGGAAATACTCTCTTGATGGCTGATGCTCAAGTGCCTTCCCAAGAGGCTTTCAACTGTAATCATTTTTGCTTTCATTTGATCGGAACTACTATCTATCACCATTGAGTAAGGAATCAAAGTTACGAGTATAAGCGGAAGGCGAAGTCAGGTTATAGCTATGCAGCAAAGAAAAGGAGGTGATCAGTACCCGTAACGTAGCGACGAAGAAGATGATCATTTATTTATTAGGCGAACAGTCGAAGAACCTCTCTAAGGAAGAATGGAGCTGCTTCATAAGGAATAGGAATCAGGCTTTGGTTTCACGAATTAATGTTAGTTTCTTTATCGGTCAGAGATGAATCTAAATCAATTTCGTATTCGTAAGAGTTCGTAAGAGAAAGAGCGAAGTAGGAAAGATCAAAAGATTCAGAGTAGACTCCTTCTTCGGGACTATATATAATAAGATTCGTTTAGCAATCCTTCGTCGAGCCTTCCTATAGGTTTAAAGCTCCTGTTTGCCTACTAAATATTACACATTCGTATATGCTGAGAAATAGAATAGGCTTTTTTAGCTCCTTTCTCAGTCACCTGATTTGGCACCAGCCACAGGAGTACTATTCATATTTCGGCTTGTGACGGGGGTGTGATCAAGTCAAAGACTTAGCGCTAAAGCACCTTCGCTCCTATCCTTTAAGTCGACTCCAGTGGACTCTGAGCTTATAAGTCGGTTCGAATAAAAGCCTGTCAGAGAATTGTCAAAAGTCGGATTTTCCCAGAAGTTGCCGATCAAGGATAATGCAACGAGGTGTTTTCTAATGTAATGATCATTCCAAGATTTCCTCTGTTTAAATAGAAGTACAATCTACTAAAAGAGTCAGAACATTAGTGAACTAGTCTTGAGGATTGGTACTTGGCTCCTTCGTAAAGAAGAACAAGCAAACGATACCTAGATCCGGCTGGGAATCAACAATGTTGCTTAGGTTACATTGGAAATAAGTACTGAATGAAACCATTTTTTTCTATTTTCCACTAAGTCAGCTTGCCCCATGAGACAATGGACGCTTTTCATTCCTTCCTCTTTTTCTTGCTTAGTTGGCTACTCTCATCTCTGAATTCAAATATGTTGGCCTAGGTTATTGGCTGCACAACCTCATTTAGATCTTCCTCTATTAGAGACCAAAAAGAAAGAAAGGCTCTATCTCAATGACAGATTATCTCAAAAAAAAAAAAATAAAGCATCGCAAATAATCTATCTACAATCTTCGTGAACGGACTTCTCAGAATAATGGTCGTAGGTCTTGCAATTATGATTTAAGTTCTTTTAGTTCTGTTGGTGCCATGCAGTACGGGGCCTTAGAGATGGGTCACATTCCTGGTTCCAGTTCTATTCCAAAGTCTACCTTTCGCGATGGAGGGAACCCTAGGAGGTCCTCCGGGAAGACATCCATAAATTCGTTTACTATGGACACTGTATCTATGGGTTTTTCCTTTCCTTTTGTGTTTACTACACAAGCTAGAAACGCCCACCCCCCTTGTTGTACCAGGCGTCTCGCTTTCATAATCGATATCATTTTTGGGGTGGTACCTGTGAAGGTTCCTTTAAACTTAAAGGTGAGTCCATTTGTAGGTGTGAATATCACCTCTTTCTTATAGCAGTCTATGCTAGCAAAGTTTTCGGCTAGCCAGTCCATTCCTAATATGACGTCAAAATCCGTCATATCCACTACTTTTAAGTCTATGTGGATGGTTTGTCTAGCTATTACCACTTGTCCGTCTTTTACTCTATTTTTCGTAACTAAGTCTACGTCTGCTAGGGTACCAGTACGTACATTAAGGGTTCTAACTAAGCTTATGATTTACTTATAACAATTCCCTACATTCTACCATATAATTGAGATAAACAAAACATAAATATCATAACGTAAAGACATGCATAACATCAGATCACATCACAACACATTTTCACAGTATCATGTCATGCATCATATAAAGCCAACCACGTTAAATATATCACAAAGATTATACATCCCTCATTCTACATAAGGTTTACCTGGCATCGGTAATTTTACCTACTTAATCTAAGGTCATTACTATACCTTGAAATGCGAAATGTACATTTTATAGGCCCTGTTCATAAATGCAACGTAAACTCATCTTTTATTACCTCGTGAAAGAGAATTACATTACAAGGGAAAGAAAGGAAAAGAACATTATTGAAATAAAGAAAAAGGAACAAAACTGAAATGAATGTCTTATACTACCCTATGGTTTACTATGCAAATACAATTCAACCTATACTAACCTATACTAATGTTGCAAACCGAATTCAACCTAGACTATGAAATAGAAAAAAAAAAAAAAAAAAAAAAA